AAATAATAATAAGAAAATAGTGGTATAATGCCGATTACCGCCTTCTGTTGCAGATCCGCCGGTCGAGGGCGCTCTCTACATGGTGTTCGGCGTCATGATCGCCATGATAGCCGTCGGCGTCATCATCGTCCTCGTTGCCGTTGGCATAAGGTGAGCTCGATCAGCATTTTTTGCTTTTCTCCATTACCATACACATAATTGTGTTCAACGAGGAAGCGAATTCTTGCAAAGTGTATACCTCCCATCAACAATAAGTTTGTTGATTTGCATCGAAACGTCTTTAAATATGTTTTGTTTGTTGTCATGATTATATTGTTATGAACAACAATTCGAAATTTCATTTCGCAACCTTGAAAGCTCATAAAGCCCAAAGTCACAAGCGGTGCGGGAGAAAAACGATAAACGAGCCAATCCGCTCTTCAACTTTGCAATCGTTCATTCCTTTTCTCTCTGGAACAATAATTGCAATCATGATGAATAACGTAAACAAAGAGACAGCCTCGTGAGCCAAAAAAAAAAAAAAAATTAACAACAAGCCTTGAAAACAATAACAACCAGTTGGTGTTCCCTTCCACCCCCCGAAATTTCGACGCGTCGAACGAAAAACAAAAAAAAAAATAATAATAACAATCGGATAAAACCACTTACGGTGAGATGTCGACAAACTCACGGCGCGACGAGGGTATACACGTCAATTGAGGACATGAGTGTTCAACTATCGAGCGAATTGATAATTAAGAGCATCCACCGCCTGTGGTCCGACCGGCCGATTTCGAGAGCACACGTCCATGCATTGTCGTCCGCGTGAAATCTCGAACGATCCTCTCGTCCGTATAATTCATGACAATATGTAACATATACTTGTAGCATTTGTATATGATAATTATTTTTGTCGATTGGTGATCGGTGAACAGCACGAGGAGCGACGTAAATTACACCACTGCGAATTCGCTTTTAAAAACTATAGTAAAACGATGGTGGGTGCGATCATCGCAACACAGCGATGTGTCATCTGAGCCGCCTGTCGGGAAAAAACACCAACAATCGGCCTAGTCACCCAGCCCGTTAAACTATAGCTGATTAGCTAACTCTCCGTTGTGCGTCTATATATATGTATACTTGCTCACTTACCTGTATGCACTTCCCCAAACGTATACAAGTATAAAGCGTTCAAGCTCGTGACTGCGGTAGTTTCCTCGTTTTTTTGCGTTTAATTGAACGAGCGAGAGAAACATCCGTAATATTATACGCTATTGGCTCGACTACTGGATAATCGGTCCTCTCCTTGCGCAGGTGTCGCTCTTTTGAAATTAAAATAATAATGCATCGCGTCAAATTGAACTATAAAGTGGCTTTTTGTGGGATCAGTAGGGAAAAAAAAAAAAAAAAATTAGTCGCCACACAGGCTTGGGAATGTCAAGGCTAATGGAATCATTTTGCACGAATTATGAGTACTTTGCGTGTAATTTGCAAGCGTATAGTGAATGAAAACAATAAAAGTCAGGACTCGGCTTTGGGCTCTACTCGCTACTAAATCCATACATTCTCTTCATGATTTTTTTTTACTAAGTGTTGATAAAGTAAATAAATAAATAAACAATTTATCTGCACACAGCTCTTGGGAATAAATAAAAACATGAAAATTATATCGATTTTCTTTGAATAGTCGTGCGAGTAAAATAATGGAGAGAAAGAAAAAAAATTTTGATCTCGTGTGTAGAATAAACAATGAAATTGATAAAAAAAAAAAAAAAACAATAAAAAAACAAGGGCCCCCAGACTTTTAGGAACCGCGTGAAAAATCTTTGCTCAACCAGAATTCGCCGGATCGCTCGTCCTAAAAATAGTGGAGTTCGTGCAAGGTTCGTTTACCCAACCACGCTTTTTCTGCACATGTACACACACTCGTTTTCCCCCTATATACAGAATTGAAAAGTTGGCGGTGGAGAAAAAAAAAAAAAAAAAAAAGAAATCCTCGAACACGGCAAAACGCGTCGTCGAATTCTACGAGGAAAATAAGAGATGAACGAGACGCCAATGTCGAGTCGAGCGAAAAAAAAGACATTATTACGCAAACAGATGGTTAGTACGCATTATATATCGTGTCTCAGTTTATTCGTTCAACAAACTCGAGCGGCTTCCCTGACTTAAGCTTGACGTTTCACGCGATTATATTACCTGCGATTGCAGACAGATTATGATTAATCCGCGGCTACATTGTGACTCATTTTCATATGTATCATTTTATTGTGACTCGTGACAATAATAGTAGTGCTTTAAAACTTTTGTTATTATTTTTTTTTCTTTATTACTAAATGTAGGTTACCGGGATGATCGATTAGTTGGTTACACATTTGGATACATCGATGACTTACCGTTGGAGGATGGTCAAGAATATACGCGTTATCTCATCGTCAGAGTTGCGTTGTATACGTCACTCTCGCGAGAAATTTAAATGATGGTTCATTCGTTGCGTAAATTTTTGCTTAAGGAATAATTTTTTTAGCTTGGAAAATAATTGTTTCTCTTTTCTTTGGATATAGCAATGACGCGTGGCTTTACTTACGAAGGGTTGAAACAAAGAAATACTGAAACACATCGATACAGCTGGCAGCAACGAATAATTTGACGATCGACACCGTAATTCTCTGACTTTACTGCAACAGTGACGAATTAACAGAACTTGAATGACAAAAATTACAATTGTAGTTCTTTTACAAACCTTTTTTCATTATACTGAATTGTTTGAAAACAGCCCTGTCTAGTATAGTGCTTCGAGTGATGGTAATTTCCTCGTTACAATTTCCTGCTCTTTGGCGAGGAATTGCAAATTCAGATGGTAATTTGTTTCTAACGATTCGCTGGAAAAGTGTACAATTGTTGATTGTCAAAGATAAACTTTTTAGTGAAATAATGATTTTTTTCTTTTTTTTCTTCAAGAGCATAGATTTTTTCATTGTAAAAGCAGTATAACTTGATTAAAAATCACACACAATCCGGGATATTGAATAATTGAGGGTCCATTAATTTATTGTACCGATTGGGTATTTTATTTTTGACCCACTAGGGTAAATTTAGCATGTGTGCATAATGTAATGTCACTGATGAAAACGCGCAGTTACCCTCATCCACGACTGATGTGCATAACGATACATTTACGGGGATTATTTTTGGACGCAGGAAAGTTCATAACCGTCTCGTTGTAATATCAATAATAGACGCAAATGTGCGTTTGATTTTGATCTCCTTAAACGTGACGAGCTCCCACGTAACCAACCGCGCTAGCTCTCGTGTTATGTGATAAATCATTATCTCGTGTTATGCGAGGCGTCGTATAAAATAACGCGTTCGGCCAAACAAGCGTGACCAAACACGTACTATTATGTGTAACACGTGGACCCACCAGCGATTGCATATTTATTTTGTAGGCAGAAGCGCGCGTCACGGCTTTAACGTTATCGTCGCGCGTTGGCACCTAGCACAAGTGAGTTGTTTATTTTAGTCACTCGAAAAAAAAAAAAAAAAAAAAAAAAAAAAAGAAAAAAGAAAATCTTTACGTTTTGAATAATCTTTGTAAATTTTTCTAACAAAGGAGAATTGATTAGCTGTGCACACGCAGGGTGTGTAACATTAATACGTGCAACTTTCGTGTCAATATATTCCAATGTAATTGTAAACGAAAATCTGAAACTTTGGGAGAATAATTTTCAATACCTCGATACGGGTTTTTACAAAAATCCCTTCGTTGATTCTTTTCTCGAATCTTTTGAAACAATTAGTACAAGCAGTAACAAAATAAAAAAGGCCGTAAATCTTTCCAGAATCATGCAAAGTTTCCAATCTACGTCAATCGACAGTTTTCTGTTTTCTCATTACATGCAAACACGGGAAAATTCCAAAGAAAGTATCGGTAAACTTATTTACTCCGTGCTATCATCCGACTAGATTCCATTAATTTTTTTCGTAGATCAGATCTAAAACAAATATCCCGGAGTGTTGTGGTGATAATACAGAGGAAAGTGCAGTTACATAGTCAAGAGCATGAGCCACCAATCAGAGAAACACTACAATTACTATTTTTGTTCAAAAATTTCATTATTGTTAACAATTTCATTTTAGGGATCGGAAGTTTATAAAATTGGTAAAGTTGGTGTAATAATTATTTGACAAATTTATAAGAAAATCATGTAACTCCCAAAGAACAGATCGAGTCACGTTTTGGCGCAATCAGTTGGGAATCGAGAGATAAAAGTTGGACCGGCAAGTTATAAAAGTACATATTATTCGGCTCTCACGTCAGATTCGAAAAACTATCCACTATTCGTCGAGTCGAATGAATTAAATAATATGCGATTCACACGGACGCTCAAATTAATTTCAATGAACAGCAGTTTTTCGACCTGCTGGTGCAAAAAGTCTATTGCTCAGTAGTACGATGAAACTTTTTCTTTATCTCAGTTCTCAACTGATTCGAGATATAAAGTATAGGTAGGAACTATCGCTGATACACCGAATACATGCGAAGGAGTACAACGTGACCGATAAGCAGGTCGAGTCCATTGTTACAGACTCAATGTACACACACACACCACCTTCATGGTATACGCACACGAGATATTTATAAAACGATACTCAATGGAGCATATAATATATTACACCGGATACCAGTGTACCCACACTCACATGGGCTTATCGATACCTGTGACGGATCAATGTTGTTATCGATACAAATCTTTTCATACCGTATTACGTATAAATACGATCATGCAAACTTTTTTTTACTTTTACACACTGGCTATTTAATAATTAATAACAATTCGAGCGCAACCTCCGTTGAGACTCTACACGTCACTAATTTTTCTGTATCTTCTTTGTCAATCTGTGATGGTACTTATTAAAGTATAGCTTACATAACGTGCATGTGAGAAAAATATATGCGAATCGATACGAGGAATGGCGCAGCTTCGATCACCAATAAAATCGGCCTGGCGGGCTCATTAATATTGGAGCGGTCCCCTGCACCCGTCCCGCTTCAAATTATTCACGAAATCAATTCGGACCTCCGATTTATTCACCGTCATTCAGCTCTATAAATGCATGTATGCCCGGCATCTGCATTATGGAGCAGCCCAGTATACGTGTGCGTGATA